TGAAATCGTTCATTGCACAGAGAGCTTTGAGCTCGCTGCTCAGCTTTGGCATTAGAAGGGGGCTTATTTATCGGGCGAATTTATGGCGTTCTGTGGGCCGTTCAATTTACGAGCCGGATTAAGTCAAAACGCCAACGTTAGCCGGATTGCCCTGGGTCACAAGACCATTTAGCCGGCGAAATTTGCTCCGATTGTGAGTGCTGTGCTGTGCTGAGCTGTGCCCGTTACAATATTAATTAGCCGCCATTAGCAGCATCACTCAACTCCGGGGCACATGCAGCACACACGGCGGAGGAAAAGTCGAAACTATCTGTAAACTCATACGTCAATGCCGCTAAATCCACTTGTCAGGAGGAACAAACGTGAGAATCGCTCCGCTCGAAAGAAGAAAAAAACAGAAACAGAGAAACTTTAACTCCAACTGAAACTGAAACAAAAACTGAAACGAACAAAAGCAAACGGCAAACGGCAAATGGATCGGGCAGCTAGGAAATATTGTCAGGCAACACTTTTAACCCCGTAGGTGTATCTCTTGGATGTATCTGCATCTTCGCTTGTATCCGTATCTGTATCTGCTGCTTGCACTGTAGCTTTTGCTTTCCCGCCGGAGAGATTTGTGGCCGGGACACCTGCAACATTTTGAGGGCCGCTTGTCGCCGTGGCAGCAAAAGACTTTTTTATGCTAAATACCGCCGCAGTTTATATTGATGACGATCCGCGGCACAATGTGATGTACCCTCGATGCAGCCATCTATCTATCTATATCTGTGCATACGTGTGAATACACATATATATGCATGTGCTAAGTATATCTCACTCTCCTGGAGAAACAACAAAAACAACAACAGAATGTGTGACAAAACACCACAAGGAATTTTAATCCCAAAATGATTGATAATCATTTGCACGAGCGGAGTCGAAAGAGAAAAAGCTCTATCACGTTCCATTTGCCTAGGTGTAAAGTCCATGGGGTATTATCAGCACCACCGCCCAACATCGTCTTCATCTCCATCTCCATCCTCATCAGCATCTCCGGCACCATAATCATCGCCTTCGAGTTCGCCTCCGTCGTCTTCATCATCATCATCTTCATCCCGAGCGGGCTTTGTTTGCTGCTAATGTTTGCACTTAATTCACCAGACAATGGGGCACGGGTGTGTCGTAGGGGAAAGCATTTTCTTTTGGCTTTTACTCGGCTACTAAATGGGCGAGGGAGGAGAAGGGGGAGGGGCGGTTGGCAAGGGGGATTGTGCCTGCCAGGGCGAAAAGTCTAAATTATGTCGTTGCCGCCTGACTGTTGCATAGGAAAATGCATCATTTTGTAAGCTTAAGAAAAGACGCTGCGCTTTTTGTGAATGGAAAACTGAGGCACTGCGAAAAATTGGTGGTCAAGAGTTATGAGTTCTTTAAATATACATTTATGTCTTTTTTCTGGGCTGCTATTTGCAAGACTATTTTATAAAATTAATTTAAATTATTAAACAGATTCCATTAGATTTGCCATACAAACTTTTTATCGTAAATTCATAGTTTCCATATTCAGTTAAAAACACTTTTTCCCATATGATGATTCAAACTTGATAGCTTAGCCATACGTTTTTAATAGCTTTCGATTAAGCAGCTGTTTTATTTCCATGCCCAAACATTTGCCTATGGCCCACACCTTTTCGGAGACCGTGTAATTTCCAACACCTCAAACTATTTAACCCTGTGAAAAATTTCCCTCTGTTCGTTTCGATTTGACGATGAGTTGAAAATGTGACAAAAGCTGATTTAAGTCATAATTTATCATGATAGGCTGGATTAGTGCGATGAATTCGACAATCGTTTATTTTTAACACGTTGCAACATCGACAATGCCAGCAGGTTGAATCGAAGCCCCTGGCTAATGTTAAAATTTATCGACTATCAAATGGTGGATGCATTGTGTGTGTCGTGCCTACTGCATTAGTTTGTGCCACTTTCGAAGTCATAACCGGCTGAAAGGAGGGATTATGACACCGCTGTGGGGATACTCTATACGAAATTAAATGTTATAGCCTTCCGAGGTAAGTCTGCATTATGCATGAATATCTTGTGTTCGGCTGGGGAAATCTCTTTCCCAACTTTGGCTTTTGGTCGGAAAAAAAGAGAACAGGACGTCTTGGCCCACAGCACGCCTTTCTGACAAATCAACCACGCCCAAAAGCAACAAAGTTGGCTCTGGCTTAAGTGTTTGTAATTGTTATGGCTGCAAACTCGTTCTTTCACTTTGGCCTGCAAGCGCGAACTTTATGGTTACACCTACCCAGCCAGCCGGAAAGCCACGGAAGATGATCATCTTTTTGTAGTGCCCCCCTACGCCCCTTTTCCCCTTTCCATCTGTATCGGGTTCTAGCGGTAAATAAAGTTTTTGGCCAACCAGCCGCGCCCAAAAAAAAAAAAAAAAAATGGCGAGAGAGACCACCTAATGAAAAGTGGCCAAGTCCGCATTTTTTGGGTGCAGTACAAGTTCAATATTAAGAAATTACAAGCCAACATGCTTGCCCCACGCATTATGCGGAAATTAATTTGAGCGTTCGCCAAATTTAATTCAATTTTTAACAGCTCTGGCCAACGCGGGATAGCACGCCCCGAAACGAAAGTTGACCCACTGGAGGATCTCGCCTTATTCGCCGGGATTGGCACTCTTTCGGCCAGTGCGAATTAAGACATAATAAAGCTGTCCCTTGGTTCAGGCCTCTTTTCGGGCCCATCCGTCAAGATTGCTCCTCTGGCTGTTCGGGGCGTGTAATTCACTTCGAACACCTTCGCCCAGACTGACGGGAACCCAGACTTGACAAGACGTCTCTGGCTTAAACGCTCTTCTCGAGAGGGGGTAATTTTTCGGCCACCAAAAGGTCGACACACTCGCGCCAACCGCAAAATATCTGGGCCGAAAGAGTCGATGTGGTGGTGGTGGTGGCGGCTTGACAAACGAGTGTCATTTATCAAAATGTGACACTATTTGCGCCAAGTCATGTGTTAACTGCACTTTATTTTATTGTTATACCCTGTGTGGGTTGTGCATGTGTGTGCTTGTGTGTGTTAACTTGGCCCACAGGAACTCCTCGAAGGGCTCTTTCTCAGTTTCGGTTACAGTCATCCGTTCCCCGAGTGCTCTCATAAAATATATATCGTAATTGAGGGTTATGCCGCTGTAGCTGTTGTTTTCTTTTCGCTTTTTTCGGGAATAAGCCAACAAGTATAGCAATCGAGTTGGCCACCGGGATGAGAAATGGCCAGATTGAGATATGGCCATGTGAGGGAGAAAAATGCTGACTGCCACCCGTGGGCCAAATTCTTCTTCTCCGATTTCGGATAAGGATTTTTCTTGATTTTATAGCTGATTTCCCACTTTGACAATTTATCAACTCAACTGTTTTAAATGTTAAGTTATTTTAGTGAGGAGAAAACTTTACCAAATATTTCGTGGCCCCAAGAAACATTTTCAGGTATGAACATTAATTGAGGAATTTTCGGGATTTTATCCCCGGCACAAAAGAAGTAATTTTTTCCTTTCCAATTTGTGGTTTTTGGGCGCGACCGGCATTTAATGCCAATACTATAAATATTATGATTATGTGGCCCGTACATGAGCGCAGTTATACATTTTGCGCGTCTGCCGCTCTTAAATGTTGTCTTTACCCAAAAAAATATATATATGAAAAAGCATGCGGAGAAAGAGCCAAAAACCAAAGACCGAAAAGTAATTTCTTGCACGACATTAATTTCTTTTAAATTACGCATAATTGAAGTACGGGCACTCGAAGTTGATCGATGGTCGATGGTCGAATGGAGAGACCCGGAGTACTCGAAACAAGTTTCTCCGCCATCCGCGTTTGAGGTGCGGTGCACAGCCCCGCCCCCTCTTCCGCCTCCTCCTCGTTGATCGGAGAGAAATTACAAAAATATTGCTTTGCCTTAATAATTTTAACATTTTTGTTGTTTTTTTTCTTTTTTGCTCAACGTTGTTTGCTTTTTTTTTCCATACGAGGGAGGCCAAGTTCCAAGTTTCTGGGGACAAGCAGGGCGACATTGACATTCGAATTGGACACCTGACAGCAGAATATCAAAGTCACTCGTAATTCGACGACTTCTTCTATTCTATCGCCCATTGAAGCCTTGGCTCTATTTTGAAATTCGATTTGATTTCGGTTCACTCTTTTCCCATTCAGCGCTCTTTGTGTTCGTGGGCTGACCTGTCAGTCGGTATGAAATTTCATATTGTTGTCGACGGAGTCTCAAAGGTATTTAGTTTTTTATTTGGGCCTGCTTTGGGGGCTTTGTTAGCGCGATAAGCGGATTTTTTATTACATCAGTTTAGTGTCACATTAGCACTGTGCCGAAGTGCGCCCATGCATTTTGCCCGACCGAATCTTCGTGGGGGCGACAGATTTGTATATCGAAGCCAAGCCATTGAATGGAATGGCAGATCTTTTGTATTTTTTTATGGCCACAACTCACCGAGCTCAACAAGTTCTTCCGCCATCCCCATCCCAATCCGAATTCGAATCCGAATCTTAATCTGCATCGGGATCTCAACTCTGCCTGCAGCTCTTTGCCACACGTACGAAAACGCATCTGCATCCTCTGCCAGTCGAATCACATAAAATCTTTCAGCGGAACCCAGGGAACTTATGAATTTCTTAATTTTTGCAAAAACTCACTCGCACCGAGAGGAGCTGCTCTGGTCTTTTTTATGGCATTTCGTTTCGCCGCGATACTATCAGTTATTTTCGTTTCAGGTTTGGTCTTTAAATTGTCTCGAATCCAGTGGTCGGTGGGTCGATTCACCGCATGAATCATAAGGCAGTTAAAAGCGAATTCCTAAATGTTCGTTTACGTTACTTAATCTACGGGGTCAACGTATTTGGCACTTGTAACCTAATTTCGTTGCACGTGAAATCAGCTTATAATTGTAAATCAAAGGGGTTAAGTTTGTAAGATTTTTGTTTCAATTTGCCCAATCCAACTTGCATTCTAAAAAAAGTCAAAATTGTGGAGACATCAAAATGGTAATACTAGTGAGCTGTTGCTATTATTTTAGCCTGCGCGTTGGATCCATTATAGCTGGTGTATGGCTGATGTTTTACTACTCATTGTTCACATACTTCATGTACTACCAATTGAAACGTTCTACGAAAGCGATACTTAACGAAGAAACTCACAAATTCGAAAAGGAAACAACTTCATTTTGGGTGATGATCATTTCATTTTTTGGAATGGCCGTGTTAAGTTTAGTTTTGGTAATCGGAGCCTATTGGGTAATTTTGAATTGACTTTAACAAAACTCTTCTTATGCGCTTCCTTTATAGAGGAAAAAATGGATTGTTTTCCTGTTTTTGCTGGGACAGATTGTTCCGATATCTGGGGAATTATACTATTTGCTGGTGGCTTTACTCTTAGGCATTAATTTTGAAAGCTGTGTACTGTATTTTCTTCCATTTTGTAAGTAAATTCCAGTTCATTAGCAGATATATGTTTCTAATCAAACTACTATTTACAGTGCTTCTGCTCTACATCGATCTGTTAGTTGTCTCCTATTGGCTAGAGTTGAGAAGTTCAAAGAAGCGAATATCTGTTTCAGTAATAAATGTAGAATATTGACATTATTTTGCGAAATAATCATAAATAAATTAATTTCGTGCAAGAAGAATCATTTTCGCTAAGAAGAATCATTTGAACATTTTATTCGGCTGAACATTTTTATGCGTTTTTATGTGACTTAAAATCACATACTTCTTTTTCCGGTAGAACACACATAAGACAGCGATAAGGTTGGCTGACTTGAGAGCAGGAAAACATGTCAAGAAATAAAAACAAAAATGATTTATCATAATGGGAGTTGCGGCCTGAGCCGGGGCCCAATTCGGAATTGGAATCGGAGTTGGAGATGGAGTTGGAGTTGAAGTTGGAGCCTGAGCTCCCAGCGGCGTTGCCTAAACGGGCGATAACGGCCAAAACGAAGACGGCATGCGGCTGCTGATGGCGACGAACGAGAAGATATCGGGCCCAGAACGAACGGTGCGTCTGGATGTCAACTCTTCATATAAAAATTAACGAAATATAAATTAAAAAATATGCCCTACCTCTCTGCGCTGCGCGATGAAATAAAAACCAGAAATTTTTGTTTCGGCTGCGCTCGTTCTGTGTACGCTTTTGGTTTTGTTCCCTTTCCCGGCTGGCGATTTACGAGTATGTCCCTTCTGGTTTCGAGTTACGCCTGCGCAACAATGTTGCTGGCGCACAGAGAGAAAAAAGTACCTCAAACCAAGCTAAATTACTGAAAAGATCAAAAATGTTATATATACTTAAAACATTAAATTAAGAATAAAGTATAAATAAAAGTGGATAAAGGTCAAAATATTTTATATGAATATAGCATGTACTAAAACAAGTACAAATAGTATCGAACTATATTGTTTTCTATTCCCCAAAAATCCTGTTTTTAACCGAATTAGAAATATTAAATAGTTTCCGATCAGAATTTCTTTCCGTGCAGGACCCAAAAAACCCACATCGAGAATTATGAATTAGCCGCTGTCTGCGGACTTATCGAGCGAATGGATCGCTGCGTTTAAGGCTTTATCTATGGCCCAGTGCATTTTTATCTAATGGAGGCAGCTTCTCCACATTGATTGGGGTTCCGTTCGTTCGGGGCTCGGGTTTCATTTCTGACTTATGACAGGGTCGTATCGTCGCAGCCTTGCGCTCTGATAGCTTCATAAGTCGCGATAAGGCCGGATCCGAGTCCGAATTCGTATCCGAGTGCGCTAATTGCTAGCAAAACTGGCGGCGCCAGCGGAATCAAGGGACTCGGTTCGATTGGCTGGATGGGAGTGTCTCTGACAGATTTCAGGTGCCGTATCACCTGCTTGTTATCGCCAGACAAATGCATTTTGCAAATTATTAACATATGTGGCGGCTGTTACACGAACGGGCCAACACCAACCAGCAGCAGCGGCAGCAGCAGCAGCGGCGGCGGCAACAAGCTTGTGCAGATACAGATACATTTGTATCTGACGCCAGTGGGTTGGATGCCGGCTCTGGATTTCGCCGGGGCTCTGCGGCTAATTGATGTCTGTGCACAAAACTTGATTTATTTCTATTAATAAAGCCCCCATGCAAACGGTAGTTTGTCGGTTCGGAGGAACGGACTCGATTCGGTCAGATGGCAATACATTTTTGGCTGCCTTATTCGGTTCGAAACGAGGTGCCCGATGGAAAATGGGAAAGCGCCAGATAGACAATAATACGAAAATGTTCCCATCGGCCGTTGGCTTGGGTTCTCCATTAATAACAGAGGATTTGCCAATTTCCAATCGGGGGGCCAATAAATTGCTTGTTTAGCCACAATTACACACGTGAACAGACGCCGAAAATGGCCGGCCAACAAATGCAGGCAACATCAGAAATAATCTGGCTAAACTTGTTACCGCTGTTGTCGATAGAAATCACATAAAAACTCGGTTGCACAAATTTTAACACCGATTTTAATCGACGCATTGTGGAGCGGGAGAGCGCACAGCGGCAGAAAAGTCATTGAGTCCCGCCGATATTCCGACCAACGCCGACACTTTATGGCCAGCTTTTTGGTGGTAATTACCAGCCGGCAGCAGTTCCGGTGATTCGGTATTTGTGTGTGTGCTTGTGTGTGTGTGGTTGTGTTCGAGGCTTGGCAATGCAAACTATAATTTTGTTATAAATTATTGATATGTCAAATCAAATTCGCAGCCACTTTTCTGCTGGCCGGAGTTGAGCCCAAGATTTATGATCTGCAATTTGAGTTGGTGGGAGAGATTGGGAAATTTCGGTATGAGCTGAATGGGAGTTTATCATGTTTTAAAGTTTACTTGAATTCCGATTCTTTTTTTTTCAAATTTTGAATTTTATAAAAGTAATATATGTCAGATTTGATTTTATGGCATTTTATGAGCTTATAATATTTTTATTTCAATTTTGCCCGACCCAACTGGCATTCTATGAAAAGTCAAAATTTTAGAGACCTAAAATGGTAAGAGTGGTAAGCTGTTGCTATTTTTTCAACCTGCGCGAAGGATGCTTTATAGCTGGTATATGGCTGGTATTGTACTATTCACTATTTACATATCTTATGTATTACCAAGAGAAGCATTCTACGAAAGCGAAATTTAATGTAAGAACTCAGAGATACGACAAGGAAACATATCCTTTTTTGGTGCTGGGCACAGTATTTATCTTATTGAGCTTAATAAGTTCATTTTTGGTAATTGGAGCCTATTTGGTAATTATGAATCGACTTTAACTAAACTTTTCTTATGCATTTCCTTTATAGAGGAAAACCTGGCCTATTTTACTATTTTTGCTGGGACATATTATTCCGTTATCTGTGAAATTCTTTTATTTGCTGGTTGCCATAATTTTTGGTATTAATTTTGAAAGCACTGTAATGTATTTATTACCATTTTGTAAGAAAACTTCAGTTCACTAGTGGGCATCTATTTCTAACCAAACTACTATTCACAGTGCTTCTGATGTATATCGATCTGATCGCTTATTCCTTTTATCATGAATTGAAAGGTACAAGAAGGAAAACATCTGTGTCATTAATACATGTAGAATATTGACATTATTTATCTAAATTATCGTTTATGAATTAATTTTGTGTATTTGCAAGTTGAGAAGAATCGTTTAAACATTTTATTTGGCCAACAATTTTTTTTGCTTCTTTATGTGATCTTTTCTTTCAGAAAGAAAATTCCAGAGTCCAAGATTTGCTTACACTAAATTCGTAGTCAGTGCTTAATCCAAACAAAATACAAAATCAATTAAGTAAGTTGACTAATTTGACAATTGCATTTTATATTAATTATAATATCTAAGGAAGGTCAAATTGCATTATATCAATGGAAACAGTTGCTTGATGGCTTAAATAGCTTGTGAATTTTGGAGAAACTTACAAAACTTTGCCAGTGACCCTCGTGTGTAGACGCAAATACTTTTGGATGAGGAAAGACTTGGTCCAGCAAGACAGATTACGATTGCGATGTCTGCGGCCGGCGGACATGTACAACACTTAGCTCTACAAGGCGTTGCGGAAAATACGCAGCGCTTTTCCCTGCTTTGCCGGCATGAAATTTTCCGCCGAGTTACCTCATGTTTTGGCCTGGGCCCCGCCGCGTGCTTTTATTTCCCTCTTGACATAACTGGAGCGTTTTGGGCATAGCACAGTATGCAAAGCAGCCGCCTCAACCTGATTTGGCAGCCCGTCGACCCCACTTGGGCGCTCTGTCTAACAAAATGCCCGGCCGCTTGTCTCGGCCATTTGCATTTCGATCTCTGGCGGCTAACTGGCAACTGGCAACTGGCCGGGCCAGGCCAAAACAAATCCTATCGTAATAAAAGTTTTCGGCACAAAATTACAAGCTCAACTCAACTAAGCGAGGCGGGGGAGGACATGTGGACTCGGACATGGGCTGTATGTGTACCAGAAGGCAGTGGCGATCCAGGTCCGCATTCGCAGCAGCAGTTGAACCACATTAGACTTTCACTTTTCGGCCGCACAAATGGCCATTTGGTCGTTTTAGCCGGCCGACTGAGCTTTAAATTTATGTTGATTGGCCGACTTGGCTCTTTGGTTAAATGTTGTTAAATTGTTTTCCGCCGCAATGACATGTTTTGACAAATGGCGCGCGGTTTCCCTAAATGCATTAGGCACCGGAATACTTGTTGACTTGTCATTTGAATTCTTACTGAAATTGTTTTCCCGCCGCAAGAGTCCGGTTCTTGGAACACGAGATAATAAATCCGGGGATTAAGTTTTTCTTTTTTATGCATCCCATCGGTCGTAAAACATTGGGTCCTTTGACAATGCCGAAACGGAATGGCCCACAAATAAATACTAATAAACCATCGAGCAGGACACGAGAGTTTGGTGATTGGCCTGTTAGGCCATCCTTCCTTTCTCGTACTACATAAATTTCAATATTTATGGCGAACAGCAACACATGGCCAGGATAAACATCCAGCGGCTGAAAAAGAAAAAGTAAGAGCAGTTTGGAATTGCGAGTTGGATTTGTGGGCGTTTGACAAGGAGTCAGCCGCTGCTGGGCGTAACCCAAATAGAGGCGTTGACGCCCGGCGACCGTTTACTCGTTTACTGGTTTACTCTTTTCCCGGCGACCCATCTCGTTTCTGGCTAACTAACGGCCGGCCAAAAGGATCGCATCGGGGAACAAAGAAACCAGAGCGTTGCGCAAAAGGCCCGGGAATCGTCGTAAATCGCAGCGACATAAATTCAGTGCACTTTTTGACGTTTTGCCTGCCTCTCGACTCGATTCTCTCGCTTTTGCTGGGAAACCTGGTTACCTGGCGCACCTGACACAAATTTTCCCTGCTCCCGGTTTTCCTCCGCTAATCTCTGTAAACAAATCACTGACGTCCTGCCATGTCCTTGGGGACGTGTTGGTTTAATTGCTGCCAGACGTCGAAATTTATGAGCATCAATAAAGTGTCAACTTTTGTGCGAGTGTGTGTGTGGTGTGTGTATGGTGTGTGTGTGCTGCCAAAGCGAAAAACGGGCAGAATAAATGCGCTTCTGGTTGTAAATCATCTCGGCGCGGCTTTCCAGGAAACTAGTCCCTCGCTCTGGGACTCTGGACTCTCCTTCTTCTTCCCCCGCTGATGCTTAACTTGGCCGAAACACGCTAGCCGGGCCAAGAGGCAGCCATTCAGCCAGCCAGACAGCGAACTGCCAAGAGATGGGCGAGTTTTGGCATTTGCATTTCAATTGAAGCGAGTAATTAATGTATCGCATATCTGTAGAATTTTAATTGCCAAGTCAATGCACTCAGGGCCCAGAGCCAGATCAGATGCATCTGAACCGAAATACACTGGCCAACAGCGGAACACGAACATCGGTTTCGGGCCAATGCCACACGGTACACAAAAAATTATTTGTCTTATTTTTGTACTTTTTACACTGTAGTAAAAAGAGTTGTCCCAAAACTTTTTATTCTATTAAAAACTAAATATGTGTGAGGGATACAATTTTATAAAATATAATTTACATTGAATTTAAAGTTAGTAAAGAAAGCAGCTCTGTTAAAATATAAATTCTTTTGTGGTAGATTTTAGAAAAGATTTTGTAGTCTTACTTTAATCTAATCTTTTAAAGGGAAAGAGTTTAAATTTATGTATTACTAGGTATTTGGCAAATCTTTTATTAAAAATTTCAAGAAGTTCTTAATATTTTCACAAAATGTTAAACCAGTTCTTGATTTTTGTTCTGTGCACCCACTGTGTTGCAGAAATACCGTGCTGTAAGAGTCGCGCGTGTGGCCCCGTCACGTACCGCTTTGCTAAGCCTCACAATGCCAGCTGCCGCACAGAAGAACCTCGACAATTAAAATATGAAAGGGTTCCTCCATGGAGCCGGGCATTCTTGTCCGGTAATCGAACAAAACCGCAGAGCCCGGGCGGCGAACCTCACCGAACTGGCCGAAATCCTCGTCATAAATAGCGTGGCCAAAGCCCGGCGATCCCTCCCCCCAGAACCGCACTGCATATAGTATATAGTATGTAGTATTTGTGGAACCCGACGGGGTAAAAATGGGAATTGGAAAACAAACGCTGCACGTGATGATTGCATCATTGTGTCAGCTTAGTACGTGCTCTGCAACGGGCTTGTCATATAAAAAATGACACACAATTCCCGGCATTCCATGCAGTCCCAGTGTTCCATGGAGTTTGTCCAACCGAAAACCCATCGCTCCATCTTTCCGCATTAGAAGCGATTGCGAGTTGTGTGTGATTTTTGCATTTTGGACAGATGTTTGGCGAAATTCGTGTATAAAAAAACGAGAACTCTGTGTTGATCCAACACGTGGTGAGGTCTTTTGCCAGCAGAACAACACAGTTGGCACTTGTGTCCAGGGACAGAAAGACAATGGGGAGATCATGGGATTTATCCGGATTTGTGGGCTAATTTGCAGGGGAAGTTGCTAAAATGCGACAAAACTATTTGTCAAAAAAGGCAATTAATGCTGTGAAAGAAAAATGTGGCTTCATTTTTTGTTGGTTTAATTCCATTTAAAATAATTCTAGATTTTTCTTTTATTTTAAATTCCATTTAACCATTCTCACGCCAACATTCATTGACGCCTCGAAGTCTGGTTTAAAAAAGGCCAAATGACTCATAGGCCCTATAACCCTGGCCAGAGAATTGTTATTCAAGTTATTGCGCTTCCACAGAAACGATGACCGATATCCGCCTTATTGTTATGCAAAATCCGGACATAGAATTCATAAAGGGCAATATTAAAAACGCATAAAACTGGGGATTCGGAGCAGAGACCGATTGTATCCCGGCCAACTTTCGCCTGCCGGTCACACAAAGCCCGGCATTATATGATTCGTTTTTTTTCGGGATCCACAAAAGGGCAGCCGAAGCGAAGAAGAAGAGGTTTTTTCATATAATTTATGAGAAATGCGCGCATTAAACTTCATTAGATCGAAATTTAAGGCAGCGACCGAGGCATTTGGGGGCCCATAAAAAACGCAGAACATAAAAGTATCTTTCGCTTTTTGTTTGCAATTAGTTCGACGGCAGCGCGCAGAAGCCGCATAAAAAAAAGTGGAGCTGCAGTTCATTGAGGAAGCATCGAGGAAATATCAAAGGCGCAGCAGCGAAGGCGGCCACATAAATTTATTTTTAAAGAAATGCCGAAGAAATGCACCACCAACTGCGTCATTGTTGGCGGTTGCATTTGTCAAGCCACCGCTGCACATATCCACATATCCACCGATCCTCCGATCCACCGATCCACTTGCTCCCAGCGTGAGTTTCTCCCCACCGCCGAAATTGAAATTAAAATATTTTGGTAGTTTATGTGCTGCTGGAAGCTGCGAGCTGCTAGCTGGGAAACGGGGAACTCCCATTAAAAACTCTAGCCGCTGGGGAGGTGTTGCCACCATTGGCAGCCATGTGTAAACATTTGGCCGCCCTGTCAAAACTAATTTGACTGCCGATGCCTCTTCTACTTATCTGCTACACATGAAAAAGTTTCGATATTTATTAATGACAGTTTCTAACTTGATTAAAAGAAGTAACCATAAACATAACATTGAAGTCTTATAAAGAATTTATATTTCTTAAAGGAGAAACGTAAAAGCTTCATTTACTTTAAAAGTAAAGTAGAGTTCAGTAAACCAATATTAGTGGTGCGTCAATGAGTGCTTTATTCTCTTCTATATAAGACTTTTTGTACCAATAAGGTGGGAAGAAAGGTAATTATTTTTTGAATATGAGCTTTAAACATGGTTTTTTGCCGTGCAGCGTGGGCTTGGGAGCAAGTGCCTGTTGCCCGTGTGCGTGATCTCGGCCAGCGCTCCTCCGGCTCACACTTGATGGCGCGAAGTGTTGAAAGTGTCGTAAATTTCATTGCCATATGCGGGAATTGGAGCTGAGAGCTGGGAGCCCCCTTCAGATGTGGCCGCATGTGGAGGGCCCTTGGGCGGCCCGTATGCAAATGGCATCTAGGAGGCGGCCACTTCAGCTCCGTCTCCATCTTCATCTCCATCTGCGGCTTCAACTTCAACTTCAAAATGCAACTCCGACTCGAGCACGCTGCCACGTTCCGAACAATTTTTCACGCTACCTAAACACACGCGTTTCCCTCTCGATTCGACCTTGACCAATTCGCGGCGTGAAGCGGGCCATAAAATCAATTGAGAAAATTGTGATGTTTTGGGAAAGTTTGTCACTCCGGATAGGAACGGAAAGTATCTGCGGATGTGGACCTCCTGTGAGGCGTGTGTCGCGTCAGGCAAATTAACTGTCTGGAAATATCCAGGGATAACCTTCGATTTGTCATGCTCGAGTGACCGCTGACGTTTTGGTTTAGCCGGAAACTGGTAGATCTGCCTCCGTATCTCCTATGAGAGAACCCTCCATCGAATGGCTGTAAATCAGGAAAGGTGAATCCAGGGGGAGGCAGACACACGCCCTCTTTTGTTCCGGTGGCGCGTGCTGGCCGTATTTTACGGGAATTCGCGGAACTCCTTTACCTGTTGCCCGGCAACAAGTGTACAACTAGCAGCCATTTTGCTCCCAAAGCCAAAGCCATCCGGCTGAGAGCCTGTGAATGGACGGACCGCAAATCGGGCGAAGCCAACCTTGGAGACTTTCGTGAGGAGCTCGCTGCATCCCAGGATCCATCGCGTAAATTGTGGCAGACACTTAAGACCCGAGACAAGATTAAATGCTAAATTACGTTAAGGCGGCGCAGATAAGCTGGCTGGAACCCTTGCCACTCGGGAGTGCCAGGGCCCGTGTCCGGGCCAAGGTGATAATGATAAGGAAATGAAATCGCGCTGAGTTCGCCGGCGACGCGATTGCAGAAT